TAGCCAACGTAAAAATTTTTGTCATTATTGATGCGATTAAATTTGGACTGAATGACATTAATTGACACTTTTTGTGTGAATCAGCCTTTAAATTAAAAATGCATTTAGACTTATACAACCTACTTGATGCACATTAATATGAAAAAAATAAATTAACAATGATGGGAAGCAATATTGTTTATTAAATACAAATGTCACAATTTTAATATCAATAATTCAGTGTTCCTAATAACCACACAATTTAAAATTTGATTTTCGTTTCATATGTACCGTTATTCAATGTTGCCAACATAATTTCAAAGTCACAGCCACCTGATCAATTTTTTTTGAAACCTATTATTATTAATAAAAAAAGAAAAAATGTCCAAAAAAACAACAGGTTTTGTTATTGTTTGTCATATGTTTAGAAAAAGCACCCCCAATTGCTACGCCACTGACCTTGGCGAAAAGATGCAATCAGAGCCATCTAAAACAGCGTGACCTAATTTTAATTCCAGACAATCACAGGTCAGTGACCCTTGAAAGTTATTGTAAACACAAAAATAAACTAAAAGAGAACTAGATTTGGCCTAATTACCTTAATGAGTCCCCTTTCTTCTCCTCTTGACCCCCACAGTCTCTTCACAACTGATTTAAATTGAAAACAATACGTCCCTAACCACACTTTATTTGTAAAATTTCACTCAATTTTAATTAATTCATTTGAATTGTAACGTTTTTTGACGTCGGTGAATAGTTTAAAGTCCCGAAATTAACTTTTTTTAACGTTTGAAAACGACGCCACCACTACAGCGCATCCACCATTTTGAGACTGTTGGTACTACTGACTGTCAAATGCGCGAAATTCAAACTTGTTTTGTTTTTTCAGGTGCCCAAGTTGAGGTAGAGCCCCGGGAAGTCCTAGTCCTTCCTGGAAGTAATGTCACTGTTATGTGTCGAGTGGGCGTACCCCTCCAGTACTGTCGTGTGGAAATCCCCGGGATGCAACCCTTGAATCTTAATTCAAAATTATCAAATAATGACGTGGCCTACTATGGGGCAGGCCTGCCTGCTGGACAATGTGGTTTTCGGATAAATCAAGTGACTGAGAGAAACAACGGAATGATTAAATGTACCTTGGGTATAGAAACGGAACCCATGGAGTCCATTGGAATGGTACAACTCATCGTAGCGAGTGAGTGAAAAAATTCTTACAAGTCAAATGATTTTCTCTGTTTGTGACAATTTTTAGAAGCCCCAAGACTACCAGAATTGGATTTGAGTCGAGGCACTGACTCTGTCAACATCTACAAGATTAATGATGTCCTCCAAGCCTCGTGTATAGTCAAAGATGGCCGACCTGTAGCCAACATTTCATGGTATCTTGATAATGAACCACTCTACAGCAACGATCTTAGTATGCCAACTGTGATCGATTTAGCCAAAGAGAATCTCCAATCAAAAGTCCAGAATTTGACACGTGTCCTACAGGCGTCCGACAATGGCAAACATCTACGATGTGTGGCTTTTCATCCCGCCTACCCGGATGGGAGAGCCGAAACGGCACGCCAACTCGATGTTAAATGTGAGGTTAGACTTGTGAAAAATTTTCATTGATTTTGGATTTTTAGTCGCACCGTTGCCACAAGGGGAGATTGACAAGTTTGGGTATATCATAGGGGAGGCTGGGCTAATCACGGTGGTGGTCGAGGCCAACCCCAAGCCCATCATCGAGTGGGACATCGGCGGGGAGAGGATCAGGGAGAGGGAGAATGACCACACGGGGCGATTGGAGGCAGAACCCATCAAGGATATGGTACTTTTTTATTTTAATCCATACCCGACAATCTTTTTCTAACACCTTGTATTTCAAAAATTACAGGGAAATGGACGCTACGATGTCAGTTTGAGGATCGCAGCTATAAATAAACATGACACTGAAAAAACGTACTATTTGAGGACTTACAACGACATGGGAAGTACCGATTACACCATCAAAATTTCGACAAGTCCAGAACCGGAAGGTAAGAATGGACTCAACTACCGGGTGACTATAAATGATTGTCAATTTTGGTGTCAAGCAGCCTTGATTTTCAAATTCAAACGTCAAACTTTACGATTACAAATAATTCAGTGTTGCCAATTTTAATAATAATACAGGGTGTTCCGTCTAAACCCCACATTAAAAGTATTGGGAGTTCGAATAATTATACTTATTTGAAAATTGGTACATAGCCATAATCCATTAAATCCTTCTAAATGAAAATATTTTTAAAATGGCGGCACTTCCGGTTATACCGGAAGTCGTTCTCAACTTTCTTATTTTAAATAGAAAGCTATATTTTTTATTGCGTTTTTAGATTAATCGGGTTATTTTAAGGAAGTTTTCATCAGCTTTCCCTATACCTAAATTTAGCCATTTTTGATATATTTAGAGTTTTTCAAAAATTTTTGCATTTGCACCTTCCAATTTAAAAATCGGTAACTCTGCTATTTTTTAAAATTTTGAATTCGTTTTTTTGGCGTTTGAAAGAGAAAGTTTAGATCTTTCTTCCGGTGTTTTCAAATTTTGAAAAAAAATTAACAAACCCTAAAATTTTAAGCTTACTTGTGTAATAATTCAAATACCCATAACTCAATTTTTCCAAATGAAATACCCCAATTTTTATTTGACTAAATGGAAGAGAATTTAATTCTCTTATTATTAACATTCCCTAAACCTAGATTTAATAATTTTTAAGTTATGGTTACTTTTTGTTTTTTTCTTCAATTTTGTATTATTTAATTTCGTAAATTATAAAGTGAATATCTTTTTTATGCTGCTTAGGCTTTCACAAATTTTTGCACCAAACCAAACTGTACGGTAAGCCCCCTTTCGCGCCCCCCTTCTCCCCCTTTCTAATTTTGTCTCTCCCCCAGGTCTCGAGCTCGGTATTGGGGGCATAATCGGCATTATTGTTGCCATCCTGGTGATCCTCCTCGTGGTTTTCCTCCTCGTCTTCGCCAAAGTGACTGGTCGGTGGTGTTTCAGCGGTAAGTTTACTTCCCTCCCTCCTCCAAGGCTGCAATTAATTGTCGTGATTGAGTCCCCCCCCCGCATGGGTGTTTGCATGTCTCCGCGTGGCCTTTTAGCTTGTATTTTTATAGATGGCGCCACGGTGATCGACTACACAACCGGTGACAGCAGCCATCACGTGACTGTGGATGGAGTGAGTGGGGATGGAGTTGATAATCCGCACCACCAGGTGTCGCAAGAGTACATCAATGGGAATGATGTGAAGAAAGATGAGAAAAAGATTGATACTGCGGTGTAATTTAGGGACTTTTATGCGAATTTTGTGTTGGTACGACTGCTGTAGATTAGGTTTTCCCCCCTGATTCTCAATGTGTAAATATTGTCGTGATTTTTGTGACAATGGGGCGCACTCTATGACCCTAATAATACTCAATTGTTTCAATTTTTACTGCCATATTGCAATCAAAATGAGGGGTGAGGTTGGCAACGCTGCGCTGAAACATTCCATATATTTTTATAATTTTAGTGTATATTTTATTGTAATATAAGACAATAATTAGTTTATTTTTTTACCTAATTTAATTCTCATCATGTCTCTATTTATTCTCCCATTCTCGGATTATTTATATACATTCTTAGGAATTTTTTCAAGTGTTACGAACGCTGTTTAAAATAATTATATATTTAAGAGATAAAACTGATATTAATGTAAAAATTTTGTATGTTATATGTACTTAAATATTTAGAAATAAGTTGACCGATAATTATAAAATTGTTTTATAAATAAAATTATATGAGAGAATTTCGTTTCAGTCACCTCAATTAGTTGCAGTCGAGCGTAACCACAATTTAATCACACTTTTATTCATTACAGAGGGCCAAGACCCGAAAAACATCGGCGAATCGTGAGTATTTCCCCCACTGTTGTGGCCACGACTTGATCGACATGGTACACAAATCTCAATGACATTACTTTACAAACACCAAAATCCCCGTTTCCCTAACATTTAACCTCTGTAAACCAGTCCCCAGTGTCACCAACCGAACAAAACACACTTTTGCCAACTTTCAACACAAATTGTCACTGGAATAAAGCCGTACCATGTCGATAAAATCGCGCACGACTCATTTTTTCCAGAAGTGACACCGAAAGTGCCGACGTCCGCCACCAGAGGTTCCCACCGATCAAACTGACTCAATTTTTCAAAAAAACCAAGGACAAGGGCGCATCAAGTGACGAAATAGAGCCGAAAAGGGCCGATGATGAGGTTGGAACCTCCGAAGATCCAAAAGAGGGGTTAGTTTACGCAGAATTGGACCTAGTGAGCCCCACAAGTGTCAAACCACTTGTCAAAGATGACAATGAGAAGACCGAATATGCGGAAATTGTCTACACGCCACAAGACAAGGCGACGTAACGATAATTTTTGTACAAATTTTTCATGTTTAGGTTAGATGCACTGAGATTCGTCCTTAGATTAAGAGATTTTATACACGATGTACTTATTTTTTACGGTTTTTAATAAAGTTCAAACTGGAATTGGACGTTTTATTGGGTGAAAGGGGCAATTTGAGCGTTTAAGTTTACAGCCGATGTTAAAGAAACCTGTAATTAGTTTATACTCCTATAAAGCGTTTTAATTGTAATTTAATTAATTTACAATGCGGGGCTTTGGTAATAAGATTTCTTTGTCTTTGCGAAAGTCGTAAAATACAACATTTTATGTTTAAACTTCTCATTTGTAATTCAGAGAAAAATCTTCACTTTTATGGTGGGATTGTTGAGTTTATGGTCTCATTTTACTAGAAAATGCTGTCGTATTCTAAAAAGTGTCTTCTATAAAAATTACAAAAACTTGAGCAGACTAAAATTTTTCTAACTTTATTTAAAAAAAATGTTTTAAAACCAATTTTTATCATCTACCTCACTCTTGAAAATAAAAGTTTAATTACAAAAAAGTGTCTAAACAATTTAATAATAATTGTAAAACTCGAAATTTTTGAGAAATAAAACAACCTAAAATTTTAAGTGCAAAAAAACAAGACAACATCTTGTAAAAATCTTTCATATTTTTGAGACATTTGGTGAATTTTTTTCGGCTTATTTTAGAGGAAATTTTACAAAATCATTTCGTTTCTGACTCCAAAACGTGCTAAAACGCTAAAAAAAATTAGAAAATAGTGTCATTTTCGGCCTAATTTAGTGATTTTAAGGCTTTGTGTATCTCAAAAGGTACTTGAATATTCAAAGAAGGCAACAATAACACTATTTTTCACTTAATTTCATGATGTTTTGGTTTATTTTTGAGTTATCTGCAATTTTTTTAGATTTTATTAAAAAAAACTTGTAAAATTGTATTTTATTGGAATAGTATTTAATTGGAAAAATTTATGGATTATATACTACGGTTTTTGTTAATTATGTTGTTTTAGATTTAATTTCTCCACTTACGAGTAAACGAAAATAAATTTAGTGATTTTTGGGCCCAATTAACAGAATTTTTGCGAAAAAAAAGGTTTTTAGCTCGAATATTTATTCAAAAAGGCAACAAGAACACAATTTTCGGTTTTGTTCAGTGATTTTTCGGATTATTTTTGATCACATTAGGTCGTTTCTGAGTAAAAAACTTTTAAAAACGATTGAAAAAGGTAAAAATTGAGTAATTTTTTACTTAATTGATCATTTTTCTGATTATTTCTAAGAAATTTCGTGAAATAATTGCATTTTGTCTGAAGAATGTCTAATTTAGTGTTTTTTTTTGCTCAGTTTATGTCAAAAACGAAAAAGAAAACAATAACAGCATTTTCGACAAAATTTGATAGTTTTTCAATTTTTTTTGCTAAAAGATTTATTTTTGCGAAAACCTTGCAAAAATTGCGTTTTTGGGCAAAAAACAAACAAAAACGACCTGAAAAATGGTGTCATTTTTGGGCTAATTTAATGATTTTTGGGCCCCGTTAAAAGAATTATTGCAAAAAAATAAAAAATAAAGCAAAAATAGCGTTATTTTCGAGGAAAGTTGGTGATTTTTCATTCCGGTTAAAGGAATATCGTAAAAAAAACTGAATTTTTAACGTCTAATGCCAATAACTCCGGACTTATTAGCGATAACTTCTTATATTTGGTACCATTGGAAAGAGAATTTAATTTTCTATCATATAAAAAAAGTTCAGTGTTCTACGATAAATAGTTATCGAGAAAATTTCTGATAAACTCAAAAATATCAAAAATATAAATTCGACTATAAGTTTAAAACTATTACGAAAATGTGTGGTTGGAAAGTTCCTTTTTTTAATTATGCAAATTCAGAATTAGCGTCATTTTAATTTATTCTCACAAACAACAATTTTTTAACGAAAAATATAGTTCATTGTATTTTAAATGTTATTTGTTGAATACAATTTGAATAAATAAGAGGATTTGATACAATTGTTTACTAGTTACCAGAGAGGGTAAAATTATTTTGCTTAGAATTCCAATTTTTGGTATTAAAAAATTAAAGCCTTAAGTAAAAGAAAAAGGAAAGGAATATAACAGAAAAAAGGAAGGATATCACAATAACAAACAGTTTTAAAGATCGAATAAAATTATCTAAGTCGCCATTTGTCTTATTTACGGTTTAATTGGAGTAATTAGAAGATGAAAAAAGTATCAGGAAAACGCTCAACGGTAGTAAATAATAATTAAGAAATAACAATTTGATTTATTAAACATACCTAACTTATATTTCAAGTTTTAAAAGCATTGGATATTTATTTGTCCACTTACCGTTATTTACAATTAAAAACTGTCATAAATCACACCATTTTTGTAATTTTCTTCTAAGATTTCCTATGATAATTATTGGAGAGAAAAAAACGGAAACAACAAAACAAAATCCAGTTCGAGTACCGGAAAAACCAGAAAAACAGATCGAACCGTAAATAATAATATTTATTTGTTTCACAGAATCGTTCGATTGGTAGTAATTTACCTATCGTCAATAATTTAATTAGAATTAGTACTTAAAAGCACGTGCATCTAATGCAACAAACATGTCATAATTAGGGACATAATAACCCGCTTTCGGCCTTTCAAGGAAACGAGTTTCCAGTAATTTTCACGCACAAAAATGTGCTCATTTTCTCCCGACTTTTATCTTGTTTATTATTTCTGTGTAATAAAATCCTAATTTCTTGCGATAATACAAAAGCAAGGCCGGCATTTTTGCGCTTATTTTTACAAATATCTCAAACAGACTTCCGTCACTAATGATTCCTAATTATTTTAATGGATTATGGAGGAAGTTTTTTGCGAGATTTTAATCGTTGCTTTTTGTTTTTGCACTGACGTCAATGGTTCTCTCGGAAAATCTCATCGAAGTCGGCGACTTTTGGACCCATTGACTGATCAATGTCAAATTAAAAGTTAAACTTTTACGACTTGTTTAATCGGTATTTAATTTTTTTCGGACAAAAGCCGATAAACGCACCTGTTGCGCATTTTCTTATTTCTCTTTATGTTTTTTATCTATTTTTTACACTTTTTGGTGACTATATTTTACTCTCTGTGTTGTGTGTTTTTGTCTTGTGAAAACTCATTAAAACAAGCTAGTTTTTTAAAAATTTAATGGAAAACTTAAAATTTTATCCAGTGTTTGTAAAGAAAATGGCAAGGCGAAAGACTTATTGACAATTTGTATAATTACAAAAAATACAGGGTGGCCCAATGAAAACGAACCACCTCTAATATTTCAGAAACTAAAAAGATTTTGCAAAAACTCCAAAACAAGTCAATTTTGTTTCCGAGGGGGACATTTTTTGGCGTAATTTTTAAAGCACTCCCGGTAACCCCCTAACCCCCACGTACCCCAACTTTAAAAATTTAAATGACACTACCCCTATTGTTGCACACCAAATGAAAGCTATTTTAACAAGCTTTTCAAGACTTTTTACCAAAATTAAATCAGACCATCCATTCATGAGATACAGGATGTTCTACAAACACGAACCAAAACAGATTAATTTTGTGTTTAAAAGGGACATTTTTGACGCAATAAAAGCACCCCCATTAACCCTTTAACTTCCTCCACCCCAATTTCGTAATCTCAAATGACACCGACTCACTCAAAATGTTCTTTCATTTTTTTTTTCTATAGTTGAATATAAGATATCCGCAAAAAGTAATGTTTCTTATTAGTAATTTCTTCTAATAAAACTATTAAAATAAATTGCAAAAAACTTGTTATAGTTATTATTGAAGCTGTGACAAACTTATGTGTCTTTATTGGGTGATGTACCTAAAAAATAGAAATCGTTCTTGAGCTTCTTTTATGAATGTATAGAAATCATTTTATTTTGGAAAAAAGCTTTTAAAAAGCATTTAAAAAGTGTTTTTATTTTATGTATTACTACATCTTTTTTAAGTGTAATTTATAAAGTGTAAGATATATTTCAGAAAAAGTTAATTGTAATTTAGATTAGGCAATTGTATTTCAGAAAGTGTTAATTGTAATTCAGAGTTTGTCATTTGTAATTGAAAATTCGTCAATTGTAATTCAGAATTCGTTATTTTCATTTGAAAATTACATTATAAAAATTTTTTTGAAAATAAAATATTTTATTTATTTTGTAAAATACCAAGTTTATGTAATTCCTTAATTCTGGAAATAAAATTATTCATGTTTATGTGTAACTTCATTTTGAGATAACAGTAAATTACTCATCTGAATTACAACTGATATTTTCTGGATTACATGTAACATGAAAGTGAACTTATTTACTGTTCTGAATTCTATGTAATGGTTTCTAAATTACAATTAATACTTTCTGAAACACAATTGACTGATCTGAATTCCAATTTATGCTTTCTGAAATTACATTAACTAATCTGAATTACATCGTGGTTTCTGAAACTCATTTTACTCTTCAGAATTACAATTAACACTTTCTGAAACTAAATTGACTAATCTGAATTACATGTGATGGTTTTTGAATTACACTTCAAAAAGGTCTAGTGTATTAGTGCTATTTGACATTTTAGAGTTAACTGGTAGAGGTTGAAGGGTTACTGGGGGTGTTTTTAAAATTTCGTCAAAAAATGTCCCTCTTAAAAATAAAATTAGGGTGTTTTTTTAGAACACCCTATATCTCATGAATGGATGGTCTGATTCAATTTTGGTAAAAAGTTTTGAAAACCTTGCTAAAACAGCTTTCATTTGATGTGCCACAAGAAGGGTAATGTCATTAAACTTTTTAAAGTTGGGGTTCGTGGGGGTTAGGGGGTTACTGAGGGTAAAAAAAAATTGACCTGTTTTGGCGTTTTTGCAAAATCTTTTTAGTTTCTGAGATATTCAGGGTTACTTGTTTTCATTGGGTCACCCTGTATAATATTCTAGTAAATTATGCCAATATTTACAAACACTCATGTTCATTTTATTTATTATGTTTTCACTTTTCGCTTTTTCTTTCTTTAATTTTGCTAATTTGTATTTGGGAAAATAGCTATTTTTTTACTTTATTTATTCATTTTGAATTGTTGTTTTCTGAATTAACCTTTTTTATTTTTTATT